ACCCCTACAGTGGGTTGGCGTTCCATCCTGGGTTATTCACTGCCTTGTACCCATAGCTCCTGGCGTAGACTCTAGACCCCTACAGTGGGTTGGCGCTCCATCCTGGGTTATTCACTGCCTTGTACCCATAGCTCCTGGCATAGACTCCAGACCCATGTGACCCTGTATAAGACAAGCGGGTACAGAATGGATGTATGGAAAATGTAATAATACAGATTACATTTATATTCTACTACTTTTTCTGTGATGTTCCACGCACTAATTTATTCAATTTTGGGGAACATTTAAATACTTCTCAAAATGATACTGCACCACGGAAATGTAGAAACACTACCTGCGATCCTTTATTGCCATACACGCTGAGTACGTTTTCCCAGCCCTGCCACAGACAGCTGGCCTCCTCCATTTTTCTCCATCTCCCTGTAGCCAATCAGGTTTCTGACCGAAGGCGGAAACCTTCCAGTCAGGTGTCTGTATCCAGCTAATGTTTCTACGCCAGATCACTTCTTGTCCTTCACCCACTGACACACAAGAGGCCCAACACCCTTCAGGTCCCAAGTTCATCGTCTCAGTGTTACCCTCTGCCCTATTACTTACTACTGGTCGATGTCTGTATGTATTACTCATCATTTACATCCTGCAATATAGTTATTAATCGTGGCAATACCATCCTTAATATCCAGGGCGTAGGTTTGGTTTCAGTATTGGTAGGAACCAAGTCTGCCCCAAACCACCCAACCCCTAATCACTCACATTACTCCTGTAATATTGGTAGGACAGTGTCCCTACTGTCCATACCTAAATCTGCGCCCTTGCATAATATGTGTTTACATCACCACACTGATAATATTGTGTGTTACTCCATCCGTCATCTGACCGCTTATCCTGATCAGGGTCTCAGGGGGTCTACAGCTTATTCCAGGCATACAGGGCACAAGGCAGGTGTACACCCTGGATAGGATGCCAGGCCATTACGGGGCACGGGGCACAGGGCAGGTGTACACCCTGGATAGAATGCCACCCCATTACGGGGCACAGGGCAGGCGTACACCCTGGATAGAATGCCACCCCATTACGGGGCACAGGGCAGGTGTACACCCTGGATAGAATGCCACCCCATTACGGGGCACAGGGCAGGCGTACACCCTGGATAGAATGCCACCCCATTACGGGGCACAGGGCAGGCGT